GTGTAGCTTTACGATTAAGTCCTTATTTTTTAATATTTTTTTACTAGGTACACTTTGTTGTGATATAGTCAGTTATCAAGTGAATTAAAGCGAGTTAGAGCCATGTCGCATGAGGCTAAAAATTTCATTCTGAAATGGTCACCATCCGGTCCATGTTGTTTGCAGGTTATCGAATCCGGTTTACATTTCTTGTTACAGAGTTTTCACCGAACGACTGTGCGATGAATTTTTTGATGAAGGAAATTGTTAGCTTATAGGCAAATATTTTATTGCTGTAAATTCCCTAAGTGCAAATTTAAGTGATCTCTTTTTGCACCACTGCCCCGTTCGAATGAGTGAATTAGAAAAGAAAGGCTTAACGAAATTGTTCTGCTGTGCTGCTTACCTCTATAGCAGAAAATGTGGACATGTGAGCGAGAGAGATGGAGGCTTGATGAATGATATGAATAGAAAGAAAGTATAGAGTAGAATAATTGGAGAAAAGAAATAGAAAGAAATTGGGAATAGTGCGAAAGTAACTCATTTCGTTCCATCTAGACAAGATAGTTGTATATTTTGTCGTTGTTGTTCTGAAAGCAAGATAGCGTTATTATTAAGTAAAGTAAACTTAAATCTGCGGCTCATATGCTTTCGACTCTGGTCAAGTTTATTCCTATCGAAGTAATGACAGATGGTTAGTGACTACTATTCAGTTTTGCTGCGTTCTCATTTGCTTATTTACACTGAAATTATCCATGCAAAAATTGCACAACACGTCGTACGTACTTAGAAATTCAATTCAGCAGAACTCTTTGGGACGGCCTAAATATTCAGTGAGAAGCAGTCACAATACGATTTGATTGGAATGAAGTGAGATTGTCCTAAAGTAACTCTCTGTTTCTACTCCAGAAAGATGACGCTTATGTATAATTTAGCTACTTGGCGTTGTTTCTTGCTGAAAATATGCTTGTTCTTGAGTTTCACGTAAGTTACCTTCGCTTATATGCTTAAATCAAGAGCACCAGAGCATGGCAGTGTTGGTTTAGCTAGCAGCTTCATTATCTTAAGGAATCTACGTTAGTCAGACTTTTGTTTCCGCACTCAGTATAAGATTCTATGCTAAAGATGAACTAACAAATTTATCACAATTCGCCGTAGTTTTTCTTTTCCGTTAGTTGTAAAGTAAATGTAGTGTTTTATTTTGAAACGTTAAGTCTTAGTTTTCTGTCCTGTAGCTACAAGACATCCTGGCAAAAATAAATCATTTTGTCAAACACTTAGGAACTTCTGAAAATCGAAGAAGCCGAAGCGGTGAGCGACAAAGACGAGGAAGAGGAAGAGAGCGAGTACGAATATACGGATTCTGAAAGCGAAATCGCTCCCCGTCTCAAACCGGTTTTCGTCAGCAGGTTGTCAGCTTTTGTGTTTGTTGCTTAGGACTGTCGAAAGTTTGACCTGTTTAAGTTTAGGCGTGAACGTGCTTCACTCCTGGAATCGGAGAAGGCACAACAACGACTGAAAGATTTGCATTTTGAGGAACGAAAGAAGGCTGAAGAACGTCGAAAGCAGTCGGTGAAGGTACGCTTGAAGTTTTGAATCCGCTGTTTGCGCAGCTTTTCTAATATGTTCTTTTAGCTCGTAGAGGACTTGGTGAGACAGGAAATTGAAATGGAGAAGAGAAAAGTGGACGATGAAGTGTTTGACCTTGAGTCAGCAGTAACTGACGACGAAAATGAAGAACTTGCTTACGAACAGTGGAAAGTTCGGGAACTGAGACGAATAAAACGGGATAAGGAAGAGCGTGAAGCGTAAGAAAGCATGTTGTTTTTTACTTTCGTTGCCTGACTTGTATTTCCGCTGTCCGTAAGCCAATCTTTACCATAATAGCATAGCAGGGCGAAATATGATTAAGTTATGCTATGATATCCGTTACAGTAGCCATGAAGGTTTATCATGACCTTTTCAATGACCATTTAGCGAAGCAGTGATGTATGGGGTTTGTCTAGCTCCATATACTGCTGAAGGCAGTTCTGTCTAGGAGAATTAACTTTGATTACAAATTTCGAAGAGGTGTCGCTTGTTGCTGTCCGTTTTAACTTTTAAGAAAATGGTTTTATCTAAAAAGATCTTTATTTCATGCCGTTTACGTTATGAACGGATAATGATAACTCACGAGCAAAACTAACAGGTTCAGACAGCGCATTGTGAATTGCGCCTATCATTCGGTGTATGTATTTTCTCTATGACATGAAACCGACGTTTGTTTGAGCATTAACTTCGTAAATAGCGAACTCTGGGGAGTGCAGCAATTCAGGGTGTATAATAAATAACAGGCACTTATTTCGTTATATCAGCTGTTTGCTTTTGAGCAATTTTCCGAAGCAAAATTTCTCTGGTTTGTGATCTTCGCTATAATTATGGCTTTTGGCAGTTGCTATGCATGCTGATTATTTCATCGCGGAAGGAACTCTTTCATTTTAAACAGTAAACTACCCCAATTTTATCGTTATGCAAGAATGTAGAACCTGAACATTATTTCAGAATTGAAATCTGATTCACTCCGCTATTCGTGATGGAAATTTTTCGGCAAAGGTTGTACTGCATTCGACACAGATTTTAAACGTCAGCAGGCACTAAAATTGAGTTATGCTTCTACTTATGTCGCAGTTTATGATTTGCGACAGGGATATTGCACTAAAACGGAAGCTGATATAGTGCTGGTCTTTTTTCTGAATCATTTGCAGGCTCTAATCATCACCTTTCGTAAACAAGTTTGTTTCATGATAGATCTTGTATGCTGTTTGTCTGCATTCTAAAACAGTACACCGCTTTTGTATCGCTTACGGTTTAATCGACTTGACTTTGTGCAGATTACAGGTTAGATCAGTTCATTTGTTCAAATTTTGCAAGTTACATGCATTGCCATTAGTGATGTTTAGAGTACATTTTTTATGCTCATTAATTTGGCTCTTTTGCTTGTTTATTAATGCTTTTTTGGGTGTTGTTTTCTGTTTCTGCTTTATCAGATAATAATTCTATTTTTTAGACGTCAAAAAGAAAAGTCAGAATTAGAACGGGTTCACAACATGAGTGAAGAGGAACGTCGTGCATATTTGCGTGCAAATCCAAAAATAATCGATAACAAGGTCAGTTTTTCCTTATATGCTGTTCAGGTTTTTATTTTTTATTGTTTTCATCATAATTTGAGATATTAGAGTCACAGACCTAGTACCCAGATATATTATGTCTGAAGCTTTATGTGAATAGCCGTCAGTTGTTCGTTTTTCCTCTTTTGAGCTCTTCAGTATTTCTTCTATTTTTGAATCATTGTACTGGCTTGTTCCTGAAGGCTCATGAGGTCACTATACTGCAGCTGCAGGACCTGTCCACACCAGTGATTACAAGCGGTATTTTCAATCGTGGAACAACATGAAAATCGACGAATTTATCTTAAGACAGTAATTTGACAGAAGCGCACGGCGACATATGCACGTTCATATATGCGTTTTTAATTTTTAAAATAAGCCAC